TCTGTCTGTCTGTCTGTCTGTCTGTCTGTCTGTCTGTCTGTCTGTCTGTCTGTCTGTCTGTCTGTCTGTCTGTCTGTCTGTCTGTCTGTCTGTCTGTCTGTCTGTCTGTCTGTCTGTCTGTCTGTCTGTCTGTCTGTCTGTCTGTCTGTCTGTCTGTCTGTCTGTCTGTCTGTCTGTCTGTCTGTCTGTCTGTCTGTCTGTCTGTCTGTCTGTCTGTCTGTCTGTCTGTCTGTCTGTCTGTCTGTCTGTCTGTCTGTCTGTCTGTCTGTCTGTCTGTCTGTCTGTCTGTCTGTCTGTCTGTCTGTCTGTCTGTCTGTCTGTCTGTCTGTCTGTCTGTCTGTCTGTATGCCTGTCTGTATGCCTGTCTGTCTGTATGTATGCCTGTATGTATGTATGTATGCCTGTATGTATGTATGTATGTATGTATGTATGTATGTATGTATGTATGTATGTATGTATGTATATATGTGTATGTATGTATGCCTGTATGTATGTATGCCTGTATGTATGTATATATGTGTATGTATGTATGCCTGTATGTATGTATGTATGTATGTATGTATGTATGCCTGTATGTATGTATGTCTGTATGTATGTATATAATATATGCATGCATGTATGTGTATGTGAGTGGGTGAGTGTGTGTGTGTGGGTGTATGTATGTGGGTGTGTGTATGCAAGCGCAGGTTTTTGCAAGCTCTTGACAACTCTCGCTTTTGTGTTCTTTTATAATATTCATAATATGCATATCATCATTGATCATAACATGCTTTATTAGTAAAAACTGCTGTGCGAAAGATGGTTGACTGGAAGGGCCGAATGTAAGAAGGGCCTGAGTGTCCAAACTTGTGACCCTTTGAAAATAAAGTTTGTTTGTTCGTTCATTCGTTCTCTCTCACTCTCTCTCTCTCTCTCTCTCTCTCTCTCTCTCTTTGTGTGGGTGTGGGTGGGTGGGTATGTGTGCGTGCATGTGTGCATGCATTTGTGTGTGCACACTCGCGCACGCAGACATTTCACATATTGTCTACTTCAAATGTCAACACTCCTATTTGTTTGTATATCCACAGTTTTATTTTGGATGCTCCTGATTGTTGTGAATGTTAACTCACTCAACAGTTGCCAAACCAGTAAGTGTAAATGGTCTTGGTTTGGCAACTCACACATTCACAGAAAATACCGTCAGGTCTGTGGGCTCATCTTGCACGTGCATCATGACCAAGTCATCTAGATATTTATCCCAGTGTCCTCCCCTTGATCCTTTTCATTACATTTCCTATTTCTTAACACATTTATAAAATTGTTTCTTTCTCCTCATAAAATCTCCCAACAATTGTTGATAGTCTTCATCTACCTTCTCTTATCAGTTTGTGGTTGTTATCTTTTCTGGAAGGATTGCAGAATTTGTTATGCCATCAATGGTACCATTTGAACATTTTCCAGAAAGCAAATTCACATTGTTTTTAGATATTTCTCACAAGATTCTTTTTTCTTAGCATTTTCGAACTGTTCAGAAGAAATCAGCTGGCATTGTGTCTAATTTAGGTCCCTTCATTTATTGCTTAAGGTCTCATGGGAGACTTACAGGCATATGACGATAAAGGTAGAATGAAAGCTGTAATGTGTTTACTTGTACTGGGTAATACTAGTAACTAGAGACGTAGTTATCTAGAGGTCAAATTCACATATCAAACAAGACCGATCCTCTTTGTAATCAACTGCCGCACTTCTCCACATCACAGACAATGCCAGTAGATTTCTGTAACATGTTTATTGGTCATAACACATGAGCTACCAGAATCAGTCCACCAGACTACTGACATTTACACAATGATACTTATTTCATCCATCCAGGTCCCATGCATTCGCACTTTGAAAGAAACAGTCAAACCTTGAATGTTCAATGTGACACAATTAGCACTCAGCAGGACACATCAGTGGTCTTTCTCTCAGCTGACTTTCAATGTAGCTTTCGATGTAGATGATCCATTTTCACTCATTTCCAGCTCTGGATCAGTTTTCACTCCTCCTCTCTCTGGACCAGTTTTCATTCCTCCTCTCTCTGGATCAGTTTTCATTCCTCCTCTCTCTGGATCAGTTTTCACTCCTCCTCTCTCTGGACCAGTTTTCACTCCTCCTCTCTCTGGATCAGTTTTCAGTCCTCCTCTCTCTGGATCAGTTTTCACTCCTCCTCTCCCTGGATCAGTTTTCACTCCTCCTCTCTCTAGAACCCTGTTTCAGAATGCCTCACTGGTCAGCTATTCCTCCAGTTATCCCGTGTTCCCAAGTCAACTCAAGCAATCCCATGTTTTCCCTCTCTCACACTGACTTCATGTCTTACCACCTAGGGAGTTCCCTATTTCTATCAACCAGTCAAACTGCTTACATCAATCTTATATTTAGCATCACTAAAAAAGTAATGAGAGGAGGGGATAAAGTACATTGCAATTCTTCTTCTTCTTCTTGTCTTTCGTTGTTTTCTTGTTTTTTCATGACATGCACACTATTTGTTATTTTGCAAAATGAGAAGATAACTCTTATTCAATAAAGAAAGTGACTTACCCGCAGTCATAAACAGTCCTGATGGTTCGCTCACAGAACAGCCGGCAGCTGTACAAGAAAACAGACGAACTCTGGGGAAGAATATAGAATTAAGAAAACAAATTCGAAGCAGACCCACACAATAAAAAATGTTTGTGTTGTCTATTTTCTTCTTCTTCTTGTCTCCTCCTGCCAGTGGTTTTTAGATAAGAAGGCCATGAACCTCTACTGATGCATAACGGTTGGATTTTGTCAGAAAGCAAATTGCCCTGACCAAATATCTCTTTAGCATGTAGAGAGCCTGTCAACAGCACAGGTTCAGTATTCTGAAATAACATACATAACATAACATAACCCTTGACCTGTTAGGGTCGTGGAGGTGTATTGATGGAGGGACTAGAACATAAAACCTGCCATCTTTCTCTGTCTTCTGCTTGATGAACAAGTGTATGATAACTTAGTCCTGTCTATTTCTTGATGTTGTCATTCCATATTCTTCTTTGGAATCCTCTTCTTTCACTTCTCCCTAATGTTCCTTGAAGTACAGTCTTTGCAGTTGAATCATGTCTCACTAGTGCCTGAACCAAACTAGCTTGCGACGTTTCACCACTGCCAAGAGAGGCTCCTGATGTTATTCTAATTTGTAGATTTTGTATCTGACAAATTGCAGAATGCATACTTACAGTTTCTACACATTACAAGATATGCTTACTTTCAATCAACACACCTCACATATGTTGTCTACTTTTAATCAACACACCTCACATATGTTGTCTACTTCTAATCAACACACCTCACATATGTTGTCTTCTTTTAATCAACACACCTCACATATGTTGTCTACTTCTAATCAACACACCTCACATATGTTGTCTACTTCTAATCAACACACCTCACATATGTTGTCTACTTTTAATCAACACACCTCACATATGTTGTCTACTTTTAACACACATGCATTCTGTGGCTTAGAGCAGGGCTATTCTACTGGCACACCCCGGGCCAAATCTGGCCTGTGGAAGCTTAGCAAGTGGCCTGCAGATCAGTACCGGTTGTACTGCATTAATAATCTGTCTATGCTGGGAGCTGGAGTCTCTGATTATGGCCGGTAAGTAGACTTAGTTGAATAGCCCTGGCTCAGAGGTTAGCGACTGCAGTTAACTCATTTAACAGTTTCATGACTGTGTTGATGGCATTGACATGTTTATGGAGCCTACCCAACAGTGATAGTACAGGACATAATCACAAAGACACAAGAAACCAGCCCCTACCTGAAAGATTTCCCAGCCGGGAGTGGCCCATTGCAGTAAACATTTCCTGGTTTGTTGAAGCAGGAGGTGTCATTACCCACCTCAAAGATGACCTCATTCGTATCACCTGGAAACGTATTGATGACAGGTGATAAGAGAGATACAAGACAGGTAACAAGATAGATGACAAGACACATATATCTCAATTTGGCAGTAATTTCCTGAATCTGTGTCACCTGCTTTCAACTCAAGAGGTTTCAACGGTTGGTTGTACACTCTATAGATGGGCGTGTGTGTGTATCTGTGTGTGTGTGTGTGGGTGTTTTTGTACGTGTTTGTGTGTATGTGCATGCGTGTGTGTGAGTGCACATGTGCATATGTGTGTGTGCATGTGTGTGTGTATGGGGGGGGGGGGGAGTTGCACTCTATAAATGGGGGTCTCAGTATATTTTATAAATAGAAGCCTCAGTACACTCTATACATGGACTCAGTTCTTCTACTTCTTCTCTAGTCCTGTGTTGCCTTTCAGCATCAGGTTTTGAAGAGGTATCTGATGACAGCCTTGGTATGTGTTTGGTATGTGCTCATATCACAGCCTCAGCTATTCCATCTATCCATCACTTGCAAGTCACTGCTTCCATTATGTCTAAGTGATAGGGCTATCTATGGTGCATTGTCTGGTGGCAGTCTTGAGACATATCCAAATCATTTGATCTGTTGTGTCTTGATGTGAGGGACCTCAATACACTTTATAAACAGTGGTCTCCATCAGGAAGTGGTTAGGCTATTTACCTCATGCTCTGAATGTTTCAGATTTGAATCTGGGCTCTATCCTTCAGTTCACAGCAGCTGATATTTTAGAAGTTTTTTAAGATCACTGCTAGGGCTACAGAGTTTGTGCTTTGTGCTGCAATCTTACTGCTGACTATTGCTCTGCAAAAAAGAGACCAGACTGTATGGGATCAAATACAGCACAGTGAAGTTCAGGACTTTACCCCCTCGCTGGTATTCAACAGATACCACAAAGCTGAGGTATTGGGGAGTGTCAAGCACCATGGTGGTCGGGAGAGAACTGTCATGGAGGGCGCAGTTTCTGGTAAATGAGGTAGAGGCGGACCTCCATGAATGTGGAAACAAGACATTGAAGATGCACTGGCTGTAAAGGCACACAGAGGACTGGAAAACTGGCTAGAGAAAGAGACCTCAGGCGTGCCGTGACGAGAGTCATGCTCTCTAAAGGACATGCGCACTGATGATGCTGTGATATGACGGTATGCAGTACCAGCACTTTTTTAGTGCATCATTTTTTTACAACTGAAATAGGCACTGTCTTGCCCGTACCTTTTGCTATACAGCTTGTGGTGAGTACCGGCATCTTTTGCTATACACCTTGTGGTGAGTACCGGCACCTTTTGTCTCCAAAACTCAGTGTCACTGAAGTTTATAGACTCTTGTTTTAAAAAATCTTTTTCTCAATTACACTTTGGGTGTCAGTTAGTGCCCCTTTACATCTGGATCATTTTGGTTTAGAGGTTAGTGACTGCATTAACAATTTCATTATCTCAGGCACTAGGGTAAGAATATCGGCTATAAAGAATTTTACTTTTGAACATTACGGATATGCGCCACATGATAGTAGTCTGTAGGTGTCTATGAACCACCTTCTAAGAACATTGATTCATTATAAGCCACTTTTAAAATCATTCTTTAACACGATCAACCAGGTCACTTGTAAAATGCTCACATAGGCACGAGGCTACAGCTTCCAACTTGTTCTTCTTCTTCCTCTGTGTTTGTCCTTAAATGAGCAGTTTAATATTCTATTGTGATTTAAAGCTGGGCTGTGATATCTTTCTGTTTTGGCTCATCACATCCGATTCCGGCAAATTCTTTATTAGTCGTCATTTACAACATGTCTGTTAAGCACACAATTGTAGGGGGGAGGGAGGAGGGCAGAACCCACACAGGGGGAACTTATTTCTATTAGGCTGGGTTGGCCCCAAAGTTGAAATTGTTCCCAAAAGATCCTGAATCTGCTGAAATTCAAACTGACCCCATCTTAGCAGACATGTACACAAACCACTATGCCAGTGTGGTTCACAACCACAAGTAACTGACTGCTACCTGGCCAAGTCTGCAGCTGCTGCTCCCAGCTTCTGTCGGTGGCTCTATAGATGGTCTCAAACTGCTTGGACTGGGCAGACTTCCACGTGGCCACCCCGGTGTACATTAACTTCCAGTCATGTAGATCTCCTAGACCTTGTCCAAGATAAGCAGTTAGTTAAAACAGCGTCTCAGTTACAATATACACAAAACATGCAGATCTCTCTGACACAGTGTTTGATACACAAAACATGCAGATCTCTCTGACACAATGTTTGATACACAAAACATGCAGATCTCTCTGATGCAATGTTTGATACACAAAACATGCAGATCTCTCTGATGCAATGTTTGATACACAAAACATACAGATCTCTCTGACACAATGTTTGATACACAAAGCATGCAGATCTCTCTGACACAATGTTTGATACACAAAACATGCAGATCTCTCTGACACAATTTTTGATACACAAAACATGCAGATCTCTCTGATGCAATGTTTGATACACAAAACATGCAGATCTCTCTGATGCAATGTTTGATACACAAAAAATGCAGATCTCTCTGATGCAATGTTTGATACACAAAACATGCAGATCTCTGACACAATGTTTGATACACAAAACATGCAGATCTCTGACACAATGTTTGATACACAAAACATGCAGATCTCTGACACAATGTTTGATACACAAAACATGCAGATCTCTGACACAATGTTTGATACACAAAAACATGCAGATCTCTGACACAATGTTTGATACACAAAACATGCAGATCTCTCTGACACAATGTTTGATACACAAAACATGCAGATCTCTCTGACACAATGTTTGATACACAAAACATGCAGATCTCTCTGACACAATGTTTGATACACAAAACATGCAGATCTCTCTGACACAATGTTTGATACACAAAACATGCAGATCTCTCTGACACAATGTTTGATACACAAAACATGCAGATCTCTCTGACACAATGTTTGATACACAAAACATGCAGATCTCTCCGGACACAACCTGTTTGATACACAAAGCATGCAGATCTCTCTGATGCAATGTTTGATACACAAAACATGCAGATCTCTCTGACACAATGTTTGATACACAAAACATGCAGATATCTCTGACACAATGGTTGATCCACAAAACATGCAGATATCTCTGACACAATGTTTGATCCACAAAATATGCAGATCTCTCTGACACAATGTTTGATACACAAAGCATGCAGATCTCTCTGACACAATGTTTGATACACAAAACATGCAGATCTCTCTGACACAATGTTTGATACACAAAACATGCAGATCTCTCTGACACAATGTTTGATACACAAAACATGCAGATCTCTCTGACACAATGTTTGATACACAAAACATGCAGATCTCTCTGACACAATGTTTGATACACAAAGCATGCAGATCTCTCTGATGCAATGTTTGATACACAAAACATGCAGATCTCTCTGACACAATGTTTGATACACAAAACATGCAGATATCTCTGACACAATGGTTGATACACAAAACATGCAGATCTCTGACACAATGTTTGATCCACAAAATATGCAGACCTCTCTGACACATGAAGTATGATTACAGTTAGCAGATATTTGAATCTTACATGTCACAGAGTAAGATCTTTGAGCAAGAGACATTTGAAATTGTCATGTCATACAGTAGAAAAAATAATATATGAACATTTGAACCCAAGCAGGCATACAGTAGGAGTCTAAGTTGACAAACATTTGAACTTGAGTTTTTTTCATTAAGTAGGATTTCCAGGTGACAGACATTTGAACCTGAGTTTGTCATTCAGTAGGACTTCCAGGTGACAGACATTTGAACCTGAGTTTGTCATTCAGTAGGACTTTCAGATCACAGACATGTGAGCTTAAGTTTGTCATTTAGTAAGGCACTCGACAAGCAGAATTCACCCGTGTTCCAACTGAACTTTCCATATAACACAATGTTTGATACATAAATATGCAGATCTCTCTGATCTTGTTTAAGTAAAACATTTGGTTAAAATAATGTTCATGATACAATTTCCCCAAAACAATGTCCCTAAAACAATGTCCCTAAAACAATGTCCCTAAAACAATGTCCCTAAAACAGTATCCCAGACACAATGTTCCTGACATAATGTTTACTATGAACCCAACAATTATTTATCCAGAAATAAAGAGAAGTTGTAATAATTTTTGTATAAATAATATCCTGATCAATCCTCAGGGTTAAAATGGGATTATTTCAGTAAAAAAAAATAAAAGACCCTTTTCACTTCACCCATGCCCCAGGCATATGGTGGAAGACCAATATTTGTTTCTTTCCATGATATTTCCTGATACCATTTTAGGCTTGGAGCTCAAACAACTGTACAATCAATGAAGCCGTCACTTCTCTCCAGCAGCAATTGCTGTCTGTTTCCATCTTTATTTTACTGTTTGTACTGATCTTACTTTGAGGCCGCATTATGGCAGTCAATAGGAGACTTGCTTTCAATCCAGCTGTGACTTGCTGCAGCCCACAGCCGGGGTTTGAAACCAGACGGTTCCTGGGGTTCACCCAGTCTCTAGAAAATGGGCACAAGAGTTAACACTCTGGAATAAATGGGGGAACTTCGCTGTAGCTACGAAGCTTCGTGCAGACGGCAACACAGGCGGACAGTTTCTTATCAGCTATTGTTTATAACTGTGTGCAACAATGCTAGTCCACATCTCCCGACTTTACCTTTTTATTGATCTCTAATACTGAGTTCCTTGACATCTATTTTCAAACATTCTTCCATTTCCTTGGAGGTTCATCAAATCTTCTATTTTAGATCATCTCCATGTAGCAGATTTTTTGCACAATGTCACTCTTGCCATGTCTGCCTGTAAGAAACTGCCAACCCATGCACTTTCCTCCCAATCTGTCACTCACATGCTACATCCATCTTTGTGCTGGCCAGTCCCTGTCCCTCTTTTCTGGTACCATACCTTCAACTACTATCTTTTTCAGTTTGTCATGGTACTCGACGTTGCCAAAATATTTCAGTTTCTGAGACAGTATGCTGTTTACTAGCCAAACTTGACTGATATTCGGATCTTTTAGGACGCCAGTATTTCCTTTCTTCTTTGTCCATGGTATTCTGTGAATCTTTCTATAGTATTCCAGTTCAAAAGCCCCAATTTTCTTCCTTAAGGCTTGCAGGTTAGTTCACAACACACTTCCACACATTGCATGCTTGCTCTCAAAATGTTATCTTTGACTTCCTTGCTGGTGCTCAGTCATCGACTTGTAATGCTGTTTTATTTTTCAATTGCTATCGCCATCCTCGTTTTAACTTCTGTTGAACAGACTCCATTGCTATTTATTATGAAGCCTAGATGTTCAACGTTTTAAATATTTTTAATTTCCTCATGTATTGCCTTTTTTTGGTCACAGGCAGTTTTGTTTTCAAGAACTGATTTTAATCTTTACTGTGTTTTTGAACAAATGAAATTCCATTTACACTTTTCAGATGATGACTGTGAGAATTATGACTGTGAGAATGAAGACTGTGAGAATGATGACTGTGCCATCTGCATAATATTGTAGATAATCTCAACAAAAGTTGTCTTTATCTGTCATAGCCAAATCTTTTTGCGGCCATACAGTTTAATTTATTCAATTTCGTGACTCATTATCATGTGACCTACCCTGACTGTCTCTGGCATGTTCTAACTACAATGCATAAAAGCTATGCCTGTTTCCCTATAAAGAATGCCATCCATAAATCTTACTTTGGTCACAGAATCCTTCCTGGCATACCAGAATCCCAAAAGCTGAGACTTTCCCATATGAGTTGTCCAGGAGGCAGGAACCGCAGACTTTGACTGAGAAAGTCGACTCTCTCAACGAGCTTTCGTCTGTGTACGGCTCGCTTGTGGGTAGTGTTGCAATTGGTTTTGGTACTGCAAGAATGAAAAGTACAAGTTAACAACACTAGGTTCTTAACGTACACAGCTGCAACACATATGGTACAGAATCACACATACACACACACACAGACCCCCCTACCCCACCTACACGCACACACACACACACGCAGACACATGTGCATGCATGTGCACACACACATACAGAACTACACATAAATGTGATACAATTTTACAGTGTATAACCAGTAACAGTGTAGAAGTAATACAGCAAAGAATCATTATTGGTATCCAAGGAATACAACACAGGAACATAAAATAATATTCATAAAATAACCAATGGCTGGTTGTCACAGAACTGGTGGTGTGTCTTATGCAGTAATGTGTGTGCACCTGTTGGTTTGACATGACTGCTGCTTCCATCAACAGTAAGTTGCAAATCAGGACCGTTGATGTTGGCACCTCAGGGGCTGCCTTGTGCATTTGATACAGATAAGAGATGTTGGATTGTCCTGTTTGACCCCTCCTTTGTGGGACAATGATGAGCCTTTTGTCTCATTTCAAAGGAACAGGAACACAGCAATTGCCGGATGACATATCTGGATTGAAACTGAAACCTTAACACATGGTCTGGTTGAAATATAACAATAAAGATATCTACACAAAAAAGCAAAATGAAATAATAATTACACCAAATAATCTTTATCTGTCTGAAGAAATTAACGAGTGCCTTGTAGACACAATATCTAGTTAATATGGAATACTTTTTTTGCGTTTGCTCTTAAAAGGGCTGTGTTGTGGTTGACAGCTAGGTTGTGATATCTGTGACTTTCAGCCCACCACACCTGATTTTAGCAAACTTTTATAAGTCATCTTTTACAACCAACATCCACTTGAGGAAGTGTTGGAATCTATGATTATTCCGGGTTGCAAACACAGCCTGCAATTCCACAATACTTGGTTAATTCAGCAGCAGGTGACAGCAGATTGCTTTGCATTGATTTTGACAATGATATTGAGAGCTGACCACTGTGACATGATAGCAATGGCAAACTACTGAAATAAAACTGCCTATAAACATCACAGTCAACAAACAATGGTATTCGATTGCAACACCATCTAAATAAACTGCAGCTAACTGTGCGGGTGTGTATATCTGTGTGCGTGCGTGCATATCTGTGTGTCTGTGTAAGATCGATTCCTTTTTCAACTAAAATGGGGCTTCACACATGAGTAATCTTGACCTACACAACCAGTCACTAAAGCCACTCCTTGACTGGACACTGGACACTGGACACTGGACACACACTGACTTAGTTCTTACCATCAGCCGGGGCTATAAACACCCGTGAAACTAGCTCCCCTGGCTGGTCAACGCCGCTAACCTTGGCCTGAATCTAATTTTTGAACATTGAAATAATACACAGTAATGCTTCAACTGTCTTAGACATATCGACAAATAAGTTATGTATGTATATATTAACTTAACAGATTTACAAACTTCATGTAAATTATAAAATGTTGAGATATGTACTATTAAGAATACTCCGTGGCTTAAAAGTAAGTGAATGCGTTTAACAATTTCAGAGACTAGGGTTTGTTTATAAAAATAAATAATCTTGGGATTTCAGGCAAATACAGCTAGAGTTGCACCGTGGAACAGACAGGGGCCTCAGAATGCATTAGTCCGTAAGACAGCAGTGGGCACTTTGTAGGCAATCTCCATTGTGGAGACGGCACAGGTTTTATTTATGTGTTATATTTAATAACAGCATGCAAGACGTCGAGAACACAGAGGATTTGCTATTATCTGGATCCATTTGACACTCGTCTTGTATCTGGTATATGATGCTATACTCAAATATTTATAAAAGTATCAGCATGTGGTGTGTGGTGTGTGATGTGTTATGTGTGGTGTGTGGTGGGTGATGTGTAGTGTGATGTGGTCAATATCCTGCTGGCTGCTTTTACTTCCCATAAAAAGTTACCTGGCAGCCATTTTAGGCCAGGTTTACTTGGGTCGCTAAAAAAAATATTTTGTTAAAAATGAATCTATGACTTTTGTAAGATTTAACTGTCTCCACGGTGATGTCGAAGGAAAGTTTAAGAGATGTGTAAGATCCTTAAACTCTTTCCCTTTCCCCCAACACTTTGATGAGGTTACTGGATGGGAAGAAAATGAAGAATCTCTGTGAGGCCAAGTCAATTAAGGACATGCCATGTTGGAGAAATATGATTCCTGACACTGGGACATGACAATCACAGTTTATGATTCCTGACACTGGGACATGACAATCACAGTTTATGTGCATTATCTCTTCCTACATAGACATGTGCACTCAGAGTTTCTACTGTCAGACAGGTTATGGATCTTTCTGTGACAGTCCTCATCTTACATTTAAGTGAGTTTTGTGTGTTCTTGTCTGTCCATTTGTTTCATATGCTGATGAGGGCTTTCTAGCCGCAAACTTATTTTTTTCATTCCTGATTATGATGTTGTAAAGCTGACTAGTTTTATTTCTCGCTTAGAAAGAAGGAAGGGACAAACTTCATTTCCAAAGGGTTGCAAATTGAGCATGCAGGCTAGACTTACATTGGGCCCTTCCAAGGATTCAACTTTCATACAACAGTTGTATTTTATATATCAAACATTCACACAACTGAGTAGTGGCTTCCTAACTGTGTGTGATTAATTTTTTTTTTTCCCTGTAAGATTCTTAGAGGCTAAACAGGAGAGAGGTTCTTACAAAACTACAATCATTTGGTTGTTGGTTGTGAGTGCAGAGGTCAGCACAGACTTTACATATGACATGGAACAGAATCAGTAAACAGCTTGACACACTATTCACCCATTTTTATAATATCATTATAAATATATAAATATAAAACATATAACACCAGTGATAGCATACATTATACAATAAGTACTACCAGTGAAAACACAAATATATAAAAACCAACACCAATGACAACAACTGTAAACAATATGTACCACTAGTGACCACACCTATAAACAATTTGTACCACTAGTGACAACACCTATAAACAATTTGTACCACTAGTGACAACACCTATAAACAATATGTACCACTAGTGATAACACCTATAAACAATTTGTACCACTAGTGACAACACCTATAAACAATATGTACCACTAGTGATAACATCTATAAACAATTTGTACCACTAGTGACCACACCTATAAACAATATGTACCACTAGTGATAACACCTATAAACAATATGTACCACTAGTGATAACACCTATAAACAATATGTACCACTAGTGATAACACCTATAAACAATATGTACCACTAGTGACAACACCTATAAACAATATGTACCACTAGTGATAACACCTATAAACAATATGTACCACTAGTGATAACACCTATAAACAATATGTACCACTAGTGATAACACCTATAAACAATATGTACCACTAGTGATAACACCTATAAACAATATGTACCACTAGTGATAACACCTATAAACAATATGTACCACTAGTGATAACACCTATAAACAATATGTACCACTAGTGATAACAGCTATAAACAATATGTACCACTGTAATGTGCTCATCTAGGGGTATGTGTTGTTTCATTGCTTTCAGACGAACAGTGAGTTGAAACGACACAGCATGAACGAATATTGAGTTCTTTGCTTTTATTCGTTGAATCGCCAGTTATCACAAACGTACATTCATGCTTCCTCGTGCTCGACTTGCTAGGCTGAATCTAGCGACCTAGACGGACTTCCCACACACTCAGGAATTTATCATCGCCTCTCGAACCATCCATCTATACTTCACGAACTCTGATATCTGACATTACGACGTATAAAAAACATTCAGTCCTCCTATTGAAATATAACGTTCACTTCACAAATCATTTATTCTTCTCAGGCGTCCATTCATGCGTCTTCTCTCAGTCAGGGCCGAACTTCAACTGTCTTACTTCAGTCTCTCGGTTCACGTCTTCCGTTCACGTCTCATGCTTTTCTTGTGTCTCTCACTTCGTTCACCATGAGACACACGAGACTCACTTCTCCCGTTTTTCTCTTCTCTCACGGGTCCTCCGACCTTTTTCTCCCCATCGGGAACTCTCTGGGGTTTCCCCGGGAATTCACAACATTACAATCTCCCCCTCCCTTCTAGTAAAAAAAATTTAACCTTAAATTTTTTTCTATTACTTTATCTTTAGGTTATAATTTTAAAGGTTTGGGAATACTTTAATGTAATGATGTGGATTACCTAATAATCATTTTGGGTTTTGGTGCTTACTTCCCTTTTGATAGGTTTTACATTATTTCCCTTTGTCACATTACCAGTTATTGTATCCAATAAGTACCAAGTGGCTTAATGGGAAACAACCATTCAGGCACTCTCTTCCAAGTGCGGTAGTCCATATAGGCTCTGCGTATTAACCCCATGCCATCCCACAGTCTGTATAAAACAGAACAACAATTCTGGTACTCTCTTTCAAGTACTGAAGTCCATATCGGCTATGGAACAGAAATGTAGAAAACCCGCAAAGTCCCACCCTAACCGTTGGACTTATGGCTACTGTCACTGGTTTACGTTTCACTTAGAGATATATGTTTCCCTATTTAGGATTTCGAACTCAATCTCTTGGATTATGTGGTGTAAATTACCCATTACTTTTCCGAAAAAGTATTATTATTCCCTTTCTATATCATAGTAATTACCCTATTACATGTTTTACAACCTATATTTTCACCAATAAATTTATCTAAACAACATATACAATCATTATTAAACCTTATTTCAACATGCTGTAACATCTTCATTGTCATAATCATCATCATTATCGTCATCATCATCATCGTTATCATCATTATCCTCATCATCATTGTTGTTGTCGTCATCATCATTATTGTCATCTTCATCTCATAGTCATCATCATTCTCCTTATTATAGTCACCATTATCACACGTATATTGTTACTTACTTACAAATGTAACATACATAAAAATCATCAGTTAAGCTATGTTTACATATTTCATTCATTCAAACATACTCTTTCCTGTAATTCAGGATTTCCCCAGGTAATACATACAATACAAAATTGAATCTATGTTTATAATCTGGACATCACGTCGGGTAGATGGTTTTCAATGCCCCTAATGTGTTCTATCTTGAACTGAAATTGGGATAATAATAACGCCCATCTGTATACTCTTGCGTTATTTGTTGCATCCATTGTTAACAATTTTGTCAGGCCTAAGTTATCAGTCAGAATAATGAATTCCTTTCCTATCAAGAATTTCTGGAATTTTTTAAGGCTGATAACAAGAGCGAGAGCCTCTTTTTCAAAAGTACTGTATTTCTGTTGGGTGGAATTAAGTTTCTGTGAAAGATATAGAACCGGAAGAAGAGTACCGGAATGCCTTTGAGCCAACATCGCGGCTATGGTATGACCACTAGCGTCAGTTTGTAGGTAGAAAGTTTTAGATGGGTCCGGTTGTCTTAGTATTGGTGGAGTAGCAAATGAAGACTTGATTTTTTGTATGATTTTGTCATGAGTTTCTGTCCAATCCTTTTTTCTAAACTGGTCTTTTTTCAAAAGTTCCGATAGAGGGGCTGTTAGTTCTGCTAACTTAGGGATGAATTTGCCGTAATAATTTACAAGTCCTAATAGTGCCTGTAGTTGTTTCTTGGTCTTTGGTCTTTCAATTTTTAAAATTTTAGAAACAATTGTCTCGTCAGTCTGAATACTACCCTGGAACACTGTATGTCCTAAAAACTGGATTTGTGTGAAACAAAACTCTGATTTCGCTGGATTAACAGTCAGATTTGCCTTTTGAATGTTGCTGAACACTTCTTTCAAGGTGTCTATGTGTTCCGGCAAAGTTTTTGTGTGTATGCAAATATCATCCATGTATGCTGTTACATTATTAATACCTGTTAATATCTTTCTTATGAGTTTTGTGAATATTTTTGCTGCGTTTATCAACCCAAATGGTAAACGTAACCACTGTTTTAAACCGAGTGGGGTTTGGAAGCTAGTATACCTGCTGGCTTTCTGTGTCAATGGAATTTGCCAGTACCCTTCACAAAGATCTAATTTCGTAAAGAATTTTGAATTGTATAAATTCTGTATTATGTCCTCTGTTGAAGGAATGGGTTCTGATTCCAAATGAGTGATAGCATTTAGTTTTCTGTAATCTACACATAATCTCAAACTGCCATCTTTCTTTTTTACAATTACCATTGGTGAGCTGTATTCTGACGTTGAGTCTTCGATTATGCCGTCTGCTTGTAATTGTTTCAGTTCCTCTACGACTTTTTCAGTATAATGAATGGGAATAGCATAGTTTTTGGCTTTCACTGGAATGGTTGAGTTCAACTGGATGTCGAAATGAATTATATCGGTTTTCCCAGGTTTGTTGGTAAAAATAGTTTTATATTTTTCGATTACCCTCTCAATTTTTTCTTTATCTCCCGTTGGCAGCTCGGGGTTTATCTTTACCGACCTCCAGTTGATCTCATCCTTCACTGACGGTGTTGGTAATTCGTCATTAATAGCGTCAGTTATTTGTTCATTGATCATGTTACAAGCATTGACATTTTCTACCATATCATCAGTAACATTTCTTGTAAAATACCTTTTCATCATGTTAACATGAAAAATTTTCAATTTCCCTTTATAATCAATCTCATAATCAACATTTGACACTTTTCTTACTACCGTGTAAGGGCCACGCCATTCGATGCACAGTTTGTCTGAATCTTTTGGTAGCAGTATAAGCACTTCTTGACCGGGTTCGAAGGTCATCAGTTTAGTATTTCTGTTTGCATACATTCGCTGTTTATGTGTTGCGTGTACACATGCCTTTTTTGCCTCTTCGTATGCTACCATTATTTTGTGTCTAAGATTGATGACTGTTTCGTAATCTGGTGCCTTCGACTCAGACTCAGTTTTTCCTGTGATCATGCTTCTGTATACATCTAAAGGTCCTCTGGGATTTGCACCGTAAATAATTTCAAATGGGGACATGCCAGTGGAGCTATGGGGTATTTCTCTATAAGCAAACAATATTGCTGGTAATAAACTGTCCCAATTGGATGGGTTTTGATAGGTTATTCTAGCCAACATAGTTTTTATGGATTTATTTAGGTTTTCTGCCAACCCATTAGCTTGTGCATGGTAAGGGGATGTAAAATGTTGGCGTATTCCTAACAGGCTGGTGACAGCTTTAGTTATGGCTGAGGTAAACTGGGTACCTCTGTCTGACACTATTACTTCTGGGAAGCCTATTCTGGAGAAAATCAATAACAGTGCTTCTTGAATGTGTTCACTGGTAATAAACTTTAGTGGTATGCATTCTGGCCACTTGCTTCCTACGTCTATCATGGTTAAAATAAATCTATTGCCTTTCGCCGATGTAACAGGCAGGGGTCCCACGATGTCTATTGCGACTTGCTCAAATGGTCTGTTAGCAGTCAGGCCGGGTTGGACGGGGGCCTTTGGGTTTACCCCTTTTTTCGTGGTTTTTAAACAGATGTCGCACGATTTGACATATTTTTTGATGTCTTTTGTAAAACCGGGCCAGAAAAATGTAGATAATACTCTTGCTATAGTTTTGGATATTCCTAAATGTCCTGCGAAAATGGAATCGTGTGCTAACGCTAAAGCTTGATTTCTATAGTTAAATGGTAGCACAGTTTGTCTAACCACTCTTGACCCTTTGGTATACAATCTTGTCAAAACATTTCTATGTAACACAAATTCCCACTTTGCATTTTTACTACTCTTTGGTGTTGCATTCAGCAACTGGAAGCATTTCGTGAGCGATTTGTCACTTTTTTGCTCTTCCTGAAATTTCATGCTGTTATTCAAATCTTCCACTGTGATTTGTTTCATTTGATTTTGACTTTCTTCTTTTTGTAAATTATCTTTAATTTTTTCTGTCATGCTTCTGGTTACTGCTGCAGCCACCTGAGTTTCTTCTTCTACATTAGATTGCTTACTAGATCTGTTGTTAGTGTCTATGTTTTCATTCTTACTTTCACTTTTTCACTTTTCAGTGATGTTCCGGTTATCTTCTGTCGTTGTTTTTTATCCCGGACGAGCTCCCACTTGTAATGTGCTCATCTAGGGGTATGTGTTGTTTCATTGCTTTCAGACGAACAGTGAGTTGAAACGACACAGCATGAACGAATATTGAGTTCTTTGCTTTTATTCGTTGAATCGCCAGTTATCACAAACGTACATTCATGCTTCCTCGTGCTCGACTTGCTAGGCTGAATCTAGCGACCTAGACGGACTTCCCACACACTCAGGAATTTATCATCGCCTCTCGAACCATCCATCTATACTGCACGAACTCTGATATCTGACATTACGACGTATGAAAAAACATTCAGTCCTCCTATTGAAATATAACGTTCACTTCACAAATCATTTATTCTTCTCAGGCGTCCATTCATGCGTCTTCTCTCAGTCAGGGCCGAACTTCAACTGTCTTACTTCAGTCTCTCGGTTCACGTCTTCCGTTCACGTCTCATGCTTTTCTTGTGTCTCTCACTTCGTTCACCATGAGACACACGAGACTCACTTCTCCCGTTTTTCTCTTCTCTCACGGGTCCTCCGACCTTTTTCTCCCCATCGGGAACTCTCTGGGGTTTCCCCGGGAATTCACAACATTACAACCACTAGTGACAACACCTATAAACAATATGTACCACTAGTGATAACACCTATAAACAATATGTACCACTAGTGATAACACCTATAAACAATATGTACCACTAGTGATAACACCTATAAACAATATGTACCACTAGTGATAACACCTATAAACAATATGTACCACTAGTGACAACACCTATAAACAATATATACCACTAGTGACAACAGCTGTAAACAATATGTACCACTAGTGACAATACTTATAAACAATATGTACCACTAGTGACAACACTTATAAACAATATGTACCACTAGTGACAACACCTATAAACAATATGTACCACTAGTGATAACAGCTATATATTACATCTAACTCTAAATATTTATCACAGGTCCCACTAGTGATGACCCTACACAGGGTGGTCTATAGTTTCAGCATGAAGTCTAGTTTAAACATCACAGTCAAGTTAACAATAACATCTTTCTAATTCATCAACATATTACAAACACCCACATCCTAATATAACTCACATACTGGTATCACAGCTGAACTCACCCTCACACCCACACAGGACTACTCAAGACACATTTATTTCTCGGCCATACCTGAAAGATGTAGGTGACTTCAGGCTGTAGCCTAACTGGCACAGAATAGCTTCTGGAACAAGCCTGAGGTCTGGCATCTAACATCCAAGTCTCAGTGACCTCCGAATTTACATCAAGGTCAAATGGTTTCAACATCTGAAACAAAAGTTACATAAATTATGACGATTCCATGGTTTCTAGTGTTATGAAATGTTCACTATTTGCATATTTGTAGGTCCGCAAGGTTTGTGTGTAGGCACGCACTTCTAGGTATGTAGGTGTGTGTGTGCATGTGTTGAATGTGTGAGTGGGTATGTGAGTGGGTGTGCATGTGTGTGGTGTGAATCTGTGAGTGTGAATGTGTGTTTATGAGTGTATGTGTAGATACTTTGATTTTCTGAGCTGCAACTGACAGATACAGAATATTTAACACCAAAAAGAATATACAAGTTTTATATTTCACAGTCTAGAACAAGCAGAACTGATACAATTCTAGAGTTGGCAGTGTTAATTCCAACTGTCCCAAGCAAAGCACCATGTCTGCTCCATTTATATTTGTATGTATTAGCATAGTATGTATGGTATGTGGTTATTTATGTTTGTATGTATCAACACAACACATGGTGTTTTGTTATTTATGTTTGTATGTATCAACACATCACACGGTGTTTTGTTATTTATGTTTGTATGTATCAACACATCACACGGTGTTTTGTTATTTATGTTTGTATGTATCAACACATCACACGGTGTTTTGTTATTTATGTTTGTATGTATCAACACATCACACGGTGTTTTGTTATTTATGTTTGTATGTATCAACACATCACACGGTGTTTTGTTTATTTATGTTTGTATGTATCAACACATCACACGGTGTTTTGTTATTTATGTTTGTATGTATCAACACATCACACGGTGTTTTGTTATTTATGTTTGTATGTATCAACACATCACACGGTGTTTTGTTATTTATGTTTGTATGTATCAACACATCACATGGTGTGTGGTTATTTATATTTGTATGTATCAACACATCACATGGTGTTTTGTTATTTATGTTTGTATGTATCAACACATCACATGGTGTGTGGTTATTTATATTTGTATGTATCAACACATCACACGGTGTTTTGTTATTTATGTTTGTATGTATCAACACATCACACGGTGTTTTGTTATTTATGTTTGTATGTATCAACACATCACACGGTGTTTTGTTATTTATATTTGTATGTATCAACACATCACACGGTGTTTTGTTATTTATGTTTGTATGTATCAACACATCACACGGTGTTTTGTTATTTATGTTTGTATGTATCAACACATCACACGGTGTTTTGTTATTTATGTTTGTATGTATCAACACATCACACGGTGTTTTGTTATTTATATTTGTATGTATCAACACATCACACGGTGTTTTGTTATTTATGTTTGTATGTATCAACACATCACACGGTGTGTTGTTATTTATGTTTGTATGTATCAACATAACACATAGTGTCTTATTATTTCTTTTTAATGAATCAACATAACACATAGTGTCTTATTATTTCTTTTTAATGAATCAACATAACACATAGTGTCTTATAATTTCTTTTTAATGAATCAACACAATACATAGTGTCTTATTATTTATGTTTGGTATGGGCATGCGAAAGAAATCTGGCCAAATATTTTTTATACAGAATAGTAATTAGTATATGATGTATCTCTGAAAGTTATGCACTGATACCTTTTTCACTGTGATTATTGTGTCAAATTTGGTTACCATTTGGAAAGATTCTGCGACTAAAGCAGTCAAGAAAACATCTGCCAAGGAATTTAAACCCTGGTACTCAATGAAAAAGCGGCGTCCGTGGCTTAGGCGGTGCGAGTCCGACTCGTAATCCAACGTACCGCGATCGAAGCCCGCTGCTGGCTGAGTGGATTTTTATCATGGTATGAGGCATCACAGGTAAATGGGTACCAGTATGGCTGTCCTGGGGAAGTAAAGCTGGCCAGCGTAATGCTGACCACATTACCCAACTAGTGCCGATTGGTCTGTAAAAATATGCTGTGCTCTTCCCATATGCCCGATGCGCCAAAGACGTGAAAATGAATCTCTAATTTTTTTTTTTTACTCAATGGAATAGTTCAGTGGATTTACTACCTTCCAAGCAGAATGTTTAACTCAGTAGTAGCTGACAATGGAAGAAATGATAGCAACAGTCATACATATACAAAAAAGCCCGTAAACATTAGCCTGAGAATAAATTGACCTGCACTCGTTGAAAGATGAGAAAGCTTTCTATAACACCATGTTTGTCTTCATCACGAGGGCATTGCCAGAGAACTTGTGCCCTTGTTGTGTTAACTGGCATGATTTGCAAGCCTGTCACTGGACCAGGTGCTGTGGGGAAAGTAAGCCAAATCAGAAGATGATGGATTTTTGCATTCTGTGTGAGAAAATAAACTGTGTACGTACATGCATGCCTGCCGTGTGAGACAAATATGAGTGTGTATACACATATGGCTGCTGTGTGAGACAAATATTAGTGTGTATACACATATGGCTGGTGTGTGAGACAAATATTAGTGTGTATACACATATGACTACTGTGTGAGACAAATATTAGTGTGTATACACATATGAGTGTTGTGTAAGACAAATGTCAGTGCACTGACATATAATCGAATACATATTTAAACCTACCTGTAAACTAGCAAGATTTTATAAAGAAATCATGTCAGCTTTATTTCATCAAGCTGTGCTCACTGTCATGGACTACTATTCATACTCACAGTTTGTGCTCTTTATCAGAATGTTTCATTTTGTGAGCCAAAGCCTTTCCATGCCATGACAAACAAAGTTGCATAAGTTTTCTTTCTCTCATCTCTATAAATTGTCCCAGTTTGTCACAGATTCTAGTTTTTATTTTCTTAAGAGACGTTGTTTGCATTCACCGGTGGTAAACCCAAGTGGACAGTCCTTGTTGTTCGTCCATATCTAGAATTTGGCTTAGTTCCAGGATCTGAGTCTTGGATGTGCACTCAGTTTACAGATATGGCTGAATTATGTGCAGATTACTGGGTTTTTGACTGTCAGGAAGATGCATGTTTACTTCGAAGAAATCACCTCTTTTTATATTCTAGTCATCCCTATTTGGGATGCAATTTTTTGTTATTTGAAGCCCCACCCTGGCTTTTACCGGGGGCCCTGAATATAGCCGGGCCATAAATATAGCCTAACAGCTGAAAGGGGTTTCTGAGACCTCTCCACAGGTGATCTTCATCCGCATGGTGGCACTTTGCATCACCAGGTGTTTATCGCTTGTGTGATGTCCTGATAGGGTACAACAAGAGAGAGAGAGAGAGAGAGAGAGAAATCACCCCTAATTAGTCGCCTCCTGTGAAATGCTTGTTAGGTGAAACCACCAACCTCCCCCCCCCCCCTCCCTCCCCAAATGGGACCCCGGTACCCACCCAGAGATTCTAGAGTTATGACTGTCTCTTAAGGTGTTAGTAATTATATATCATTGTGGTTAAGCTTTTTTCAAAATATCTGGATTACTTATTTAGGCTGTCCAAAGAGAATAAGCATTCTTTTTTGGTAACACCACATCACTGAGGGTTCAAGGACTTGTAGGGCTTGTCTATCAATTGTCAACATTGACAGTCATTTCATTAGGCAGGTTCTGGGCAATTATTTCTCACACAACCATTGACAATGATCTATCGCATAAGATGTTCATTTTAAAAGATAACCACATTTAAATGTCCTCGTTTTTTTTTTTTTACATACCCACATGTACACACACACACATACACACACACACACACACACACACATATATATATAAATAACACACAAAATCTCTCTCTCACTCTCTCTCACAAACACATATACATGCAAGCCTACCCACCCGCTCACACACATCTCATGCTTGCACAGATGAAAGCATGCACAAATGCATGCAAGCACACACTCACACACATACATATAGACACTTACACACACACTTACTCACACACGCACATACTTACTAACACTCGCACTTGCTCATACTTATTCTTACACACACACACACACACACACGCACACTTATTCAACACACATGCTCAATTACCCATACACACAACAGAAGACAATGACAAGTGCCACTAACATGCACTGGACGTCCGACAAGGAGGAGCTAGAGTCACCAGGTCAGAGCTGCCGGCCGCAGTGTGTGCTGACATAGAGAAACTGTACAACCAGAAATCTGCAAGTCCACTCAGGTTGAGTGACCGATTGCTGGAGCCTGGAATAATACCAGAATATAAATCATGCTATCAGTGACATAATAGACTTCTCCTATGGTTATCTCCCGTATGCCTAGTTCTCTTGCCTTGTAACCTCATCATCATCATGTGACCTGACAATAAGCATATGTTAACATGTACTACAATTTCATGTAATCACCAGGATTACAGATCAGGTCAATGCTCTTGTCTTGCCCTATCCATGTGGCCAAACCAACTTTGCGTGTGGCCTTAGATTTGCCATGTCCTAATGATTTTTAAATTTACAATTGCACAAGTGCTGTTGCTTTCTTAAAGTAGCAAATTTCTTTGATCTTTGCTTGAATAATTTGTACCCCTAAAAATACAATATGTAGTAACTGAGATTATTTGGATCAGGCGCAGCAATGGCTAGTGATTATTTTGATAGCCTAGTTTGAATACAATTAAAAAAATCCCCCCGTGTGGGTTCCAGTGCCCTGTTATAGGGAAAACAAGAAAAGACCCACTGCCTACCCAAAAACATGTCGTAAGAGTGGACTAATTAGGAGCTTCCTTCAAAGTCAGAGTGCATCTGCCTGAGAGGCAAGGAACCAGCAGTCTGCATACAAATAAGTCAGATCTGTAAAACGGATGCACATGCAACACTCAGGTTCTGGAACAGAACTGCAGTCCAGAAGTGGATGAAGAATCAGAACTTTCTGCCAGAGTGTACAGCTGGTGAACGCGAAGAAGAAGAATGAAAAATCCACAACTCATGGGAGACTAATGCTAGAAAAGTTCCCGTTAATTAACTGTAAGCACGATGATTGTTTGCTTGAAATTGCTGTCTGTTTTTATTTCACATACCAAAAGTAAGGCAAAATGAAAAATACATATTTGTTTGCATTAAAAAAAAAAGCTTTTTTGTAAGAACATGATTATCAACAGGGTTGCATGCCCAAATTTCAAAAACACACACCAAACAGTTACTGGGTTACAGGTGTTTAAAGATGGACATGACTTTTGGAATGGACTATAATATCCTCATCATTACCATTACTTACACAACAACAAATGAATGTAACATTACACATGAACAGTTAACTGCAACATTACACATGAACAGTTAACTGCAACATTATACATGAACAGTTAACTGCAACATTATACATGAACAGTTAACTGCAACATTATACATGAACAGTTAACTGCAACATTACACATAAATAGTTAACTGCAACATTATACATTAACAGTTAACTGCAACATTATACATTAACAGTTAACTGCAACATTATACATGAACAGTTAACTGCAAGATTGCACATGAACAGTTAACTGCAACATTATACTTAAACAGTTAATTGCACCATTATACATGAACAGGTAACTGCAACATTGCACATGAAGAGTAAACTGCAACATTGCACATGAACAGTTAACTGCAACATTATTCATGAACAGTTATCTGCAACATTACACATAAACAGTTAACTGCAACATTATACATGAACAGTTAACTGCAACATTATACATGAACAGTTGACTGCAACATTACACATGAACAGTTGACTGCAACATTACACATGAACAGTTGACTGCAACATTACACATGAACAGTTAACTGCAACATTACACATTAACAGTTAACTGCAACATTATACATGAACAGTTAACTGCAACATTACACATGAACAATTAACTGCA